CCATCCACCCACCCACCCATCCATCCATCCACCCATTCACCCCTCCATCCATCCATCCACCCATCCATCAAAAGGCCTCGACTGGCTCACTTTAAGAAGTGAGTCTGGCTGAAGCTACGTGACTCACAGAAGTGTCCGTGAGCACTGCGGCAGCACGCAGTTCAACACGACCTCCCTGTGAGAGGCCAGAGTACTGGCCTAGGAAGCCGTGGAGCGAATATGACATAACGTCCATAGCTGAGGCTGGAGTAACTGCACCCAAATTCCACTCCCACAATTAGTGCTTTCGTAGCATAAAGGACAATGTTGCGATTACATCCATATATTTTGTCTGTCTTGCTTCCAATTTGAAAATGCTTTGGCTTCTCTTTAAAGCCTTGCCTGCAACAGTTCCCATGGTAATTTCACCTACTGCACATCAGTACGTGTACCTTTACTCTGATTGATGAATAATAAAATCCAGTGAAAGAGATGGGCCAGTGCCTTTTGCCAAAGGAGCATTGGCCGTCTTTAACTCTGTCTTCAGTTTTTCTTCAACCTTGTGCTGCATACCAGGCAGATGGGGACTAGGGACTTACTTGCAGGAGTAGCTGGCAATGGGCCCCACTGTGGGGCTGGACTCAGGAGCAACCACCTGCTCAGTGAGGCTACTCAGGATAAAAAGGAATAAAAAGAAATCAGCAGCCAAGGGGATCCTGTCATCAAAGGACTTCCGTAGGAGCACAAGCCCAGAAAAGAGGTAAGTGCTTCAGACTTGAGTAAATAATTAACTGGGACGAAAAAAGAAAGAAAAGACAAAGAAGGAAAGAAATAAAATGTGGGACAATCTTTTTCAGCCGAGCAACCAAGTTACATCCGTGTGCTCCATGCTCTTTTTAAACAAGCAAATTATACTGTGTCAGCCTGCAGTATTGAAACAATGCTAAAAGATGTTTGGTAATATGATTTGGGGTTCCTGAGGGTGGGAACCTTAGATTTAAAGGTTTGGCAGTGTGTGGGAGAAAACCTCCACACTGCTCAACAGAGAGGAAAAACTATTCCCCCGGAGACCCCAACAACCTGGGCTCTGGTGTGCTCCATTCTGGCACCTTTGCAACCTAGCTCGACAACTTCTACAACTCCCACCAAACTTGCTGCATTCCACACAGCAGTGAACTTGCTCCTTTCAGGAAAGCACCATTACCAGAGGCTCCTAGTGCCCTTTCTGCATGCAGGAGGAGGAACTCCCTCTCCCTCTCCATCGTCCTCTGGAGCTGCTGGAACCTGCCTCGCTGAGGCAGACATTGCAATTGAACAGCACTGCCACCTGGCATCAAAAGGTGACACAGCAAGCTGCTAGGTGTGGACAGGATTTGGATCTGCAGTGTGTGTGCCTGTCAGAGTACAGGAAGATCCTGATCATCCCAATCAGAAAAATACAAGCTTATGCACCACTTGAGTTTAAAATCTTGAAAAATATGAAAGATAGTGTCAATAATGGCAAACAAAGCCCTCTGCCCGCTGGCTTACTAGAAAATGTTTTGCAAACTTATCTGCTGATACCCTTGGATGTTGGTCATTTGGCAAAAAAACGTGCCTGTCCCCTTCCCAGTATCTGTACTTTTAAGTTCAATCGCCTTCGATATGAACAGGCTCATAAGAGGAGGAACGGAGGAAGAGAGGCAGCTGATGTCACTTTCGACACTCTTTCGGGCACAGCTGAATTTGCTGACGTGAACAGGCAGGTCCGTTGTCTTAAATTGCTTTTCAAATGGCCGATTTGATGCGTCCTGCTTGGACTTCGGTGCCAGAGGATGCGCCCCAGTTCTTCCAAGGTCTGCATGAGCCCTACGTGGAGTTTGTAGCCAAATCACAGGCTACCGGTAAGAAGTAGATAGCTAACCCTCAGGCAGCCGATATCTTGGTGTTACAGCTGGCTTAAGATAATGCTAAGGAAGATCACAGGCGAGCAATCGGTACCATACACTGTACTGGTGATCTGGGTGTCTCAAGTAGAGCTCCAGGGATATTGGATCTCACTCATATAATACGGCTTTGATGGCACAAGCTGTTACCCAAATATGAGGGAAATCAGGCCAACTCAAAATGTTTTAACTATAGTAAATCGGTACAAAGTAAGAAACGTTTAAACATGTTGTATCAAACAATGTTCATCTGAAACCTATTACACAAGGAGGGAGGTCAGCCGCCAGGGCTACGCCATGCTGTCGAAAGGGAATCCACCAGGCAGAAGGCTGCTATTCCAAGTGTCACACAGATGGAACTCCTCTTCGGGGAAACGGAGGGGGATTCTCTCTCCGGCCCTGAAACAATGAGAGGGGTCCAGCTAGAACGACAAGGGGCCTCCGTGCATCAGCTCCTGGATGAGTAGCTCAGTGTGCGCCCGTCCTGGTACGTGTGCTCAACACCCCTCCCAGCACACACAGATGTCTTGTGTGTAGTCGGCACAGTATGGGAATTAATAAATCTATTTACATGCAAAACAACACTTACACATGTGCGTCATGTATCCACGGTCAGCTGCCGGCAGACTTCTGGACAGTAAGACGGCCGTGCTATCAGTGAGTCATGACACCCTCTGGGTATGGCACCGCCCTCTCTGCAGGCAGCCTGAGGGAGCTGGGGGTCAGACAAGGCCTGGCTGGGACAGGACCGGACCTCAGTGCTTTCCCAGATGCCTGGTGGCCTGTGAGCTGTGCAGTGAGCAAGCCGTGCGGTCACAACTTCTTCTATTTGTCCACAGCCGTGTTAGGAACAGTGTGGAGGCCACGTGTGCTCTTGCCATTTTGGTCTCGTCAGCCTTGGAGGTCCCTGCCGTGCCGATATGGTGGATCTTGGTGTCATTTCTGTGACAGTGCTGACTTAAAGACCCAGCAGCCAAGGATGCCCCGATGCATTCCTGAGGGTACACCTCCGGACGCCTCCACAGGCTCTCTGCTTTGATGAAGCTTGCAGATGGGTTGCTTGCATCTGTGGTCTCCCTGTAGGGTTTGTTTGGCTCTCCACTTATGGGTTGGTCTTGTAAGGATCAGAGATTTCCACAGCACCGGCTCAAAGCACAGCACACAGCACACAGCACCCAGCCCATCCTGGCTCCAGTGGTCTCCGTCCCTCAGCCAAAGTGGCCTTTCCACTGAAGTGGCTTTTGTCCTCTCGTACTCTGGGCAGCCTGTCTCCCAGGGAGGTCTGCTCAAGGCCTCCCAAGGACTACGGAAAGGAGGACGCGCCACCCCCGGCACCTGCACCTGCCACAGCCTGGAGGTCTTGCTCTGCACCTGTGGTCACCGATGGTTTCTGCGTGGTTAATAAACACAGTGGCCTCGAATGCTCCTCTCCACTGCGCTGGTGCTTCTGGGTTTCTGGCCCCTGTGGGCCTCTCTGTCCAGGAGAGGTCCTCGTCAGTCTGGTGGGACAGAGAGGTGTTTTGGTCCACTCCACCCCGACAGCGAATGGCCCATCCAAGGTCTTTCTTTCCACCTCTGTTACCAAAGCTTCAAAACAGATGAATGTGGCCCTGTGGCAAGTGGTCTGGAAGTCTTGAGCCCCTCGCCCCTCTCGACATGGCTACTTTCACATAATAGTTTTGATACCACAGAGTAAGCCAAACTAAATTCCCTGTGGTTGATGGAGATGCACAAGGAAAGCATGCAGGGCCATGCTCAGCAGGCACCTCAGCCTCGAGCTCCTTCTGGGCCTGCCAGGGAGAGGGGCAGCGATGTCTCCGCCTGAGGTGGCGCCTGACAGGAGAAGTCTGCTCGGAGCTCCCTGCCTGCAGGCCGAGGCTTGCTGAGCTGCCTGAATTCTCCCTCCACCCCGCCCTGCTTCCTCCCCTCTCCTGGCCCAGTGCTGACCCCTGATAATCATCTTGCACCCCAACCCCACATCAGCACCCACTTCGGGAGCAGCCGCCTGCGAGTCTCCTCTCAGAGCCCCCAGGGGCCATTGGTCAGGACCCGGGTCCCCAGGGATTCGGAGGGTGGGCGTCCTAGAGTCTCAAGAAGGCTGAGGTCTCGTCCTGCTCCCCACAGCCCAGCCTCGCAGTGGCCATTCTGGGGACCAGCTGCACGGTGCACAGCTGGCCTCCCCTGGGAAACCGGGCATGCGCAAGCTGGGTGGGGCAGCCACCGCCAGGGGACGGAGCTGGGCCTCAGTGAGCACGGGCAGTGCTGGACACGAGCCCGGTGGACCTCAGCCTCGGCTCTGCCCACCTTGCTCTCCGGCTTCGCCTGACCCTGCTGTGCACGCACCAAGCCGCACTCTGTGCTGGGGACAGGGCCGGGCTTGGCCTGTGTGACTAAGTTGTGACAAGTGACAGCCAAGGCCCTGCTGACCCCTGAGGGCGTCCTGGCAAAGGCTGGAGAAGAGCTGGTCCCTGTTACCTTCTCCCTGCTGCTCCTGATGTCACTGCTGTGGAGTTGCAACTCCCTGGTGAAGGAGCCAGGAGTTGTGCGTGTGTGTGTGTGTACGTGTACTTGTGCGTGCAAGGATGCTGCCCCGGGCCTGGGCATTCTTCTGGACTGTGGAGGCCTCGGCACTGGCTTTTGTCCCCACCCTACTTGGTCCCCCGCCTTTTCTGTCCTCGCTCCTCTCACAAACCTGAGCCTGGGTTGTCAGTGACCTCCAGGCCCATGTGGGTGGCAGCTCTCGGTCACACTCGCCAGTGTGCAAGGGGTCAGAAAACAGCCGTGCTGCTCCCGCTGGCCCCACTGTCGGTTGGCCAGGCCACCCGGGGATGTCCCCGGGGATGGCAGTCACGCAGCGGGAAGCGCTGAGACCCGGAGGGCGAGGTAGTGGGCAGAGACTTCACCAGGAGAGGACCGGGCAGACCGGGACCGGCGTGGGGCGGGGTGCGTGGGGGGCGAGGACAGGGAGGAGACTGTGTGGCCAGAACTTGTGTCAGACTTGCTGGGAGGACATCTAAGGAGAACCCTGCAAATCAAAACATGACTCTGAAATGTCATTCTCATTCACAAATAAAAAAGTGACCCTAAGAATATGCTTGCACTCGGGTGTTCTGGGCCCCAGTTACCTTCACCACACAACTTAGTGGCATGAAACCACCACAACCGTGGTTTCAGGGTGCTCACGACTTTGTGGGTCAGGAACTTGGGAGGGGCTTCGTCCAGGGCAGCAGGACTGTGGTCACCTGGGGGCGTGGCTGGAGGGTCAGACTCTGCAGCTGGCTTGTGGTCTGGCTGCCAGGCAGTGCCTGGCACGCGGCCACGCTCCTGTGGTGCGTGCGCTTGTGCGGCAGCTGGCATCCCCGGAGGGAGGGTCCCAAGAGAGCGGGGGTGGTGGTGGGGTGGTTTCTGACATGGCTCCTGAAGCCACAGGGTCACTTCTCCCCTCCTTCCCTGGTCAGAGCAGTCACGAGCCAGCTGAGAGCCACAGGGAGGGCTGTGGACTCTGCTCCTAGGGGACGGGGTCAGCAGGTGTCGGCTGTGCTCAAAAACCACTGCTCTTTGGAAGCTGCCTGGCCAAAGGTGCCAGGAGTTGAATTCACGTCTTTCTGATCCTGGACACTGACTGGCTGGACTCCCTGTTTGCTTTTCCTCTCACCACTTACAGAAGGGACTCTTTTTCCCCATTTGTGTCTTTGGTGCCTTTGTCAAAAAACATAGGCATGCACTGATCTATTTCCAGATTCACGACTCTGTTCCACTTCATCTATTTTTACACTAGTACCATACCGTTTTATTATTGCTTTGTAGCGTTTCGTGTGTGGGTGTGTGTTGTTTGTTTTGTTAAGAAAGAATTTTACTCATGTTGCCTACATTATCCCTAAACTCCTGGATTCAAGTGATGCTCCTGCCTCAGCCTCCCGAGTAGCTGGGACTACAGGAGAGTGTCACTGTGCCCTGCTTATAGTATATTTTGAAGTCACGTGTGATGCTCCCAGCTTTGTTCTGTTTTCTACAGATTACTTTGGATGTCCAGGATCTTTTGTGGTTCTGCATGAATTTTAGGCATCTTTTTCGGTGAAGGAAGCCATTGGTATTTGGATACGGATTGCACTGAATGCACTGGGCAGTCTGCACTGTGTGTTTCAGTAGCAATCGTTGCACTGTATGACTATGTGATATCACGTCTTTCCATCTATCTGTGTCCTCTTCAATTTCTGTCATCCATGTCTTTACAGTTTTCACTGTGAGATCTTTCATCTTTTTGGTTAAACTTTTGCCTAAGCTTTTAAAATAGCCATCACAGAGTTGCTTTTGATTTCTTTTTCAGATCTTTCACTATTGGTATCCAGAAATGCTACTGATTTTTATATGCTGACTTTATTTCATTTTATTTTTGTATCAGCGATTGAACTTGGGACCTTGTGCTTGAGAGGCAGGTGGTGGAACCACTGGGCAAAATCCCAGCCCTTGCATCCTGTAACTTTAAATAAATCTATTCATTCTAACAGCCTCACTGGTAAAGATTCAAAAGCAGGGAGTGTTTTGCATTGATGAGGGACCTGTTGGTTCTCAACAGGCCCCTTGAATAAAAATAAAAGCATAAAAAATTGTGGCTGTAGAAGTATTTTACCAGGAGAATAGTTTCATGGCAGGGAATTCATTTAGAAATGTCCTGGACAAGCATAAAATCTCCACTGCTGCCTCGAGTGCCAGGCCAGTGGGTGAAGGGAGGACGTCCCTGTCCATCCCTCAAGTCCCTACTGAAGTGGGAGGAAACTGCTCACATTCCAGCCCGGGCCGTGGAGATGCAGTGGTGCCCCCCAGGACCCCGGCGGGGTCCCCTGTGACTGGTGAGTGACCAGACCCGGTGAACGGTGCTGGTGTGGGAGATCCGCATGGACCTGCGCTATCAGGCCACCGGGTGACCCCTCGCTTTGGTTCTCTGGACACTAAATGAGCGGTGGACCTTGGCACAAAAGGAGCCATGGTGAGTCTTGGGTTCTCCCCAACTGTACCCGGATGTTTGATAACCAGAGACCCCACGTGGGATGGGTGAGTTCCCGCGACCCTTCCACAGGGCCACTGGGGGTTGTGTGTGATCACCTCCTGAGAACACCCAACAGTTCTGTGGGGGACCCTAAGGGGGTCACGAAGACCTCACTTCAGGTGACCTCACCTGTGGTCAGGTGCCACACACAGACCCCACTCATGGGCAGAGGCCCGTGAGGGCTTGAGGCTGCTGCCCTGGTCTCGACGGTGGCTTCTGTGCAGCCACTGCTTCTGGTGATGTTCAGTCAGGGCTCCAGGTCCTGCGCTCTTCACCTGCTGGTTCTCAGGGATGTGGCCACTGGCTTTAGTCACCAGCTCTGCTGTTCCCTCTCGGTTCGCTTCCTCCATCAACAAAGCCGGCCTCTGCCAAGCTAGGATGCAGTCTGGCCTCCCTGCCTCCCAGGAAAGCCCTTGCTGGCACACCCTCTACCTTCTCTGTCCTTTCTCATGCCGGGGAGGAGACAGCACCTCCCCTGAGTGGGGCAAGTCCAGTGGGGTGTCCAGGCCGGGGGAGCGGCTTCCTTCTGCATCTGCCTGAGCAGGGTGCTGGGCAGTGATGGGAGGAACCACCTTCCCCGACTGCGGCCCTCGGCGGAAGCTGCTGGCCTGAGACGGAGCCTTCCTCTGCCTTGGTTCGCTGAGGGGCTCTGGGCTCCAGGAGCTCGCCGTACCCGCAGAGCAGCCCGGAGGTGCGCAGGTGCAGCCATCCTGTCCTGCACGGAGCTGGCGGGGCGAGGCCACCCTTCCTCCCAACCCTAACCCACTCCGAACAGCTTTCCGTATCGCAGTGCTTTCACCCTGGCTTTTGATGGCTTCAGTTGCAACTGTGGCCTCAAAAAAACCCCTGCTTTCTCATCTTGGGTGACAGGTTTCATCGACTTCCTCGTCAGATGCGTGTGGGCAGTGGAGGTCTTTCCCACGCATCTTCACACCGAAAGCGCTGACCCTGCAGTGCGTGCCCTTGAGTCCCCGGGGACCCATGAGGCCCGGGAGGGCCGAGTCCTGGGGTCCTGGGGTGTGGGCTTGGAACCCCTCCGGCAGGGCCCCGGGCCCCTTGGGTCGCTCTGGGTTTAGGGGTGGACCTGAGGCCCCGGTGGACGGTGCTCATCAGGGCTGTGACCAGCGCCTGTCCACATCCCGCAGCTCCTCCTGCGCACAGGGGCCCCGGCGAGGCCCGTGTCCTGTGGGGAGCAGGGCAAGGACTCACCAGCCCTGGAAAAGACGCTCTGCTTCCTGACACAGGTCTGGGTGACTCTGTCGCTCTTACCACGAGTCACTTTCAACAGGGTGACAGACAATGATGCCCTAAATGTCATAGTGTTTATTTAAAACCGGAGGTTCAAAAACATTTCCAAATGGTTTAGCAGGTGCTATAAGGAGCAGGCTTTGGGATAAAGATTCTCGGCCCCACTGTGCAGGGTGGGGTGCTAGTGTCTGAGGTGGGCGGATCTTTGGCAGGAAAGAGACACGGCGCCCGTCCCTAAGGCCACAGAAGTGAGGGGCAGTAAAGTGCATGCTGATTTCGAGGCTCTAAGGAAACCATCTCTTGCTTTGCTCCGTCCTGTCGGAGATGCTTCCTGCAATCTAAAGAGCTGCTTCATTCACAAAAGCACTCCTGGTGGAGAAGGGGCTCCTCGGAGGGACTGCAAGGGTGGGGGCACCCCGGCCCGAGCTCCCACCGGGAGTGTGGCCCAGGAGGTCTCTCAGGAGATGGCCCTGTGCGCAGCGCTGCGGACGCTGCTCCCTGCTCCCCACCTCAAACCAAGAGTGGCTCTCGGCTGACAGATTCTAGGTGGACTTTAAAATGAACTCCTATAAAGTTCTAGTGGCAAACGTCCCATCAACTTGAGACCCCACCCCTCCTGGAGTGTTTCCTTCCCTTGGCTGGAACGGCTTCACCACTGCAGGTGACAACTGATCCATTCCGGACGCAGCGTTCCTTCACCTCTACGTGACGCTGCCCAAGCCCCGTGGGGCTTCCTAGACGCAGCCTGCTTGCCGCGCTGCTGGAGTCCAGGGTCCCAAGGCGTGGTGCTTTGCGGGGACCACGCTGCCTTGGTGGTGGAGGTGTGTCTGGCAGGCTGCTGTGTTTCAGAGAGCGGGGCCTCAGGGGCAGGAAGTGGCCCAGGGCCTGAGGACGCCAGCTTATGGCTCCTGGTGTAGCCGGGGCTATGGCCCTCGCAGTGATTCAATTGTCATTTGCATTTTTAAAAAATGACCCAACCTCCAAACCTCAGTACAGTTGGGAACTGTTTAAAGTAAGAAGCAAGTTATGTGTAAAAGTCGGCCCTAAACAGGCCAAGATGGGCTTGAGCTACAGAGTGCACTGCAAACTGGAGCTGAGCAGTGAGCTAGTAGTGTACAAGTGTCCACTCAGCACAAGAAATGGGCACGCTGAGGCCAGGAGGAAGTCACTGGGGAAGACACCCAGGTGGCCTGGGGGGGGCTGGCCCTGACGTGGCAGAGGCCTGGCTGTCCTCGGGGAGCAGTTCCAGGCGGCTTCATCACAGCAAGGTGGTCTTTGAACCTGTGATCAGTCCCTGCTGTGCTGACAGTCGCTGAGTGGAACCCAGATGATGTCCCAGGCCCCGCCCCGCAACCCCAACACGGCAGCTGCTCAGGGCAAGGTGGTTCCTGCCACACTGGTGGGCAGTGGTGTCAGCAAAGGGCCATCAGCTTGGCCACGGTCCGCAAGGCATGCTGGGAAAGCTGAGCACTGAAAGAAGATTCTGGGCTGCGCTGGGCACTCCTGGCAGCTCTGGTCTCATGGGGAGCAGTTGAGTTCCGGTGGCCCTGTACAGCAGGGCAGGTGGGTCTGAAGGACTCGGCATGCGGTGAGGACACTGGATGCTGCTAAGTTTTCTGCCCCGTGCTGAGCAGCCAAGGCTGGCATGAGGGCCTGGCTCCTCTCCAAGCCCTGACCTCTCACTTGTCACCCACTCAGCCTCGTTGCCGGTGTTGGGTCTGTGGCTGGGTGCCCAGTGGGCTGGGGTCTGGCTGGACAGGGAAGTGATAGAGACCCTCAGCCAGCCCGGCAGGGCTCTGCCCCCACCCTGGCCGCAGTGGGCTACGGGGTCTGTCATACTCTGCACAGTGGGTGGACCAGGGGCTTGGCCTGCCAAGGAACAGAGGCCATCAAGCGGGAGCTCCTTGTGTGTGTGGGAGCCCAGGGAACAGGGAGGTAGTCTGCTTCCTGTCAGGGAAGGAAGCGGGGACTGGCAGGGGGAGTAGGGACAAGAATAAATCATGACCTGTTTCCTCTGCTATTTTGGTTCCTAAGTCACCAAAGATTTTCTCGGAACACCCAGTTTTTGAAAGTGGTTCCCTCCTGGCACTGCTCCCTGGTACACAGGTGAACCTTGAGCTCCCCTAGCCCTGGGAGGTCCTGGCATGGCAGGGTGGGTCCCGCTGAGCTCCAGGAGGCCTGGCTGAGTGAGGGCTTTGCCTAAGGACAGTCACCCGAGCAAAGGCCCACAAGGACAGGGCGCTCAGGGGCCCCCCAAATCGCCAAGTGCTGGTGCAGCCCCAAACTTAAGGGACAGTGTGTGATGGGAGGCGGCCAGGGCGCCTGGCTCAGGGTCACCGGGGGCCTGCTGAGGGCGAGGTGGGCCACGAGCACCTGTGGGCAGGAGAGGTGGGGGCTCTGGAGGGCGCCGCGGCTGTGAGGAAGGCTGGGCCTCCCTTGAGGCGACGTCATGAAACCCTCAGGAGCCAGGGGCTGAGCGTGGTATTCGGGGGCTGTGGGGCTGGGGCAGGCAGCCTCGCTGCTTCTGTTTCTCTTGTGCTTTGTGTGGCAGGGGAGGAGAGTAGTGTGTCCTGTGGATGAGGTGACACTGATGGCCCAGGTGCCCGGCGCTAGGGGAAGTCACTGCCATCATAGATCACAGGCCGCTCAACCGTCAAGTGGTAAAACACTTTCTTGGACATGAACCTGAGGACAGAGACGGAAAGGGGGTGTCGCCCTGCACGGACAGCCATGAGCTGCTGTGTCGCAGTGTGACCGGCTGGCGTGGGTGCTAGACATGGGGACGGGGCCTCGTGGCAGTGCGGGCTCCTGCAGATGCCCAGCCCCTCTGCCTGTCCAGCACAGCTCGCTCCCCAAAGCCCAGGGGCTAGGGACACCGCCGCGGGCCTGGCACTCAGGCTGCCTGGGCAGGGGCCATGGGGAGGCGGAGCGACGGGAGCTGCCC